GGGTTTACCAAAGTAGAAGCTAATGTTACAAGTGCCATGATAGGTGAAAACTCGAAAGAAAATAATATGTTCATAGTGTTTGAGTGATCCACAGTTTCCCTGCTAGGAACGTTATACTAGGCTTGGCTGACGCTAAAGTACTTTTGTTACTCTCTTAAGTTTTGAGAGTAACAGAGCCATCACTATCAGAAAGAAAGTTTGCCGTTTTCAGATATGACAAAATGATGACTGGTACCAGGACCTCTGTGCTACTGCTTCCTGTTCTTGCCACTGTTGATCATGAGCTTATTCTTTTGCACTTGGAGATTTTTTCCCTCTTCTGCCTCCTGCTTCTTTGCGTTGCTCCATTTTCAGTTTGAATGCATATATTTGAATACTGTCTTTATCATGTTGCCTCGTGCCATTTGAGGTAGCTAGCAAAGCTCCTGCCAGCTCCATAAGCATAGGTGTCAGGAATTGTACACTTAGGCTGATTGGTGTTGCTAGGTGGTGATGTTTAGTTTGTACTTGGAGACACAAGGTTAAGTTGGAGACCCTGTACTAACTGGGATGCTTTGGCACTCAGTGGGGGTAGCAGCAGCTATGGGAGATGATGTTATAGAGGTCTTTTCCAGCCTTAATGATTCTATGATTATATGATCACTTAGTCCAATTGTAAGCCAACCCCCACCATGCCCACTGTCCATGTCCCTCAGTGCCACATCTACACGACTCCTGAACACCTCCAGGGATGGTGACTCCACCACCTCCCTGGGCAGCCTGTGCCATTGCACTTTCTGAGAACATATTTTTGCTAACATCCAACCTGAACCTCTCCTGGTGCAACTTGAGGCCATTCCCTATCGTTCTATCACTGTAACCTGGGAGAAGAGGCCAACCCCCACCTCACCATGACCTCTTCTCAGGTGGCTGTGGAGAGCGATGAGGTCTCCCCTGAGCCTTCTCTTCTCCAGACTGAACAACCCAGTTCTCTCAACTGCTCCCAATAAGACTTGTGCTCCAGACTTTCTGGACCAGCAGCTGAATGCCTGGTGGACCAGCCTAAGGCATCCCCTGAGAAAACAGAAATCTGTGTTTAGGCACCTGGCTGTGCCCTTAACAAAGCTGAACGGTGCAAGACTCTTTGGCTGTGAGGGCAAGACTCTATCAGAAGTGCTGTAAGTATTTAACCACGTACTTATTTGATTTGCACTTCTCTGTGAAACACCACTACTCTGTATTTCCATTAGATAGTGATGTTTGAGGTTTCTGGTGTTTCAAAGTCAAGTGTTTGTAAAAGGGCATCCAGATATACCTTCTGGTTGACCATCCAGCTAAGCACATTGGGTAGGACACCTTGTGGATGTTGGTTCTGGCTATTTGGTCTGCTAATGTTAAGCATGTATATGCTCTTTTCCTCTCCAGTGCTGCGCCAAGAGCTTTTATTTGACAGAAAATGTCGTGTATATATCCTGCCACTTGAATTTAGTGGACTTTTTATCAAAATATTCAGTTAGTATGAAGTAGTTTAAAATTTATGTAGGATTTGAGAGTCTATTTCTTAATAAAAAATTTTAAAAATCCCACAAAACAAGCAAACATTACCACCAAAAAGCCCAAACAA